TTTTGTATATATAAACAATAACAGTAAATGAACTAGGAATGAATCACAGTACAGGCCGGATTGACCAAATAACGCCTGAGGCCTAGCGAGAGAGTGGCCTCTGGCAGCCTGCCTCCAGACAACAAACCGGAGGGGGGGGCTGCTACTTCGCCCCGATGAAGGCTGCGGGAGGCCAACAATAAATGAGAGCGAGCCAGGAAGATCGCTGGAGGAAGTTAAGCTCTTGACCAGAGGTCTGAGACGTTTACATCCACCGCAGCAGCAACAGTCAGAAATAAAAAATGGCACCCGACCACAATGCGGCGCGAAGATGGCGGCCGCGAGCTGAGCTATGTCGGGCGCCTTCGGGACGGCAGGGAGGGCCTGTCCGGTTAGCTCAGCGCGCCTGGTGTCCTTAAGGAGCGGCTAGCCCTTCCCGGTCGGCGTTTTGGGTGGGGGGGAATCCAGCGAAATTGCACGCGACAAGGCAGCGCGGAGGCAGCGACGCGATATACCAATTGGGGGGGGGGTCGCGCGAAAACGCTGCGAACCCGCCCGCTTGGCCCCTAGGGGCGAGGGGAGACTTCCCCTAAGTCCCAACCCTTTGCGCAGGAGGAAGAAGGAAGAAGAAAAACCAAACCTGAGAGGAATAAATTAGCCAGAATAACCAATGTTTGAATCAGCCAAGGAGCTCTTTCTAACAGCAGCCTGACTCTTCGAGGCTGAGCAAAAGACTGGGGGAACGCTGCGTGGAGTCACGTGAGGGGGCGGAGCGTTTCCTCAGCTAAAGCTCAGCCTGCAAGAAGAGGACTCAGAAGCACATCCCACTCTCTGGATGCTCCGAGCGGCTCGAGGGAGAAGGTGCTGCTCTCAGGATATGTCCATACCAGCTGCGTCGGCCTTCTCTCATCTTCTCTATAATTAGTGCCACACCAAAATATTGTCAAAGTATTGTCTACTGCAGAGTGGTGTTTGGAAGATATTGGCCTGGCAGCTCTCCCAGCCTGATAAAGGTCTGTAGTTGTGCAATCTCTTGAAAGACTGTTTTCCGGGACTTTGCTGAAGAGGAATTCATTTTAACCTAAATAAAAGGGGTTTTGTTGGGATGAGGAATCAGCTTCGTGATTTTGGGAAGCCTAGGTCAGAACAAGGGAGATGCCCGATATTCAACAGAGCCTTCGCATTTCCATGGCATGGAGAGAGCTTTCGGTCCCTGTTATTGCTGCCCAGCATTCATGTCATAGTGCGCAACAGGGTGGATGTTGTCTTGTAAAACTTAAGATTTAAGGCCGGTTGGCATTCTTCTGTCACATAACACACCGGTGAGTTTTCGCCAATGCACCCAGGCTGTATTCACTCTTGCACCTCATCGATATCACCATTGCCTTGGAGATAGGATCCCAGATACCGAAAAATGTCCACCTTCTTTAGGTTTTCTCCATTGATTTGAAGCAGGGGTGGGCTGCTACCAGTTCAGCCGAACCGGATATTTTACATCTAATTCGCTGAATGGGTAGTTGCAATGACTGGCTAGCTCCACCCACCCCACCCCTCCCCTCCCAGGAATCTCCACACAGCCCATTTTGGATCCTAGGTAAATGCAGGGCCTGCGCAGAGGCTCGGGGAGAGCCAAAAAAGGGCCTCCCAGAGGCACCAGAAGGCCAGAAATGGGGAAAACAGGCCACCTGGAGGATTGAGGAAAGCCTCCGGAGCCCGGGGAGGCCGAAAAACAGGCCACCCAGAAGTTCTGGAAAGGCCAGTTTCTGGCGTCCGGAGGGCCTCTGGAGCCCGGGGAGGCAGTTTTTGCACTCCTGGAGGCTTGAGGAAAGTCTCCAGTGCTCAGGGATAATGAAAATAGCTCCCCCCACCATGGTTCAGGCGGCCAACTAGGCCACACCCACCATGGCCAAGCCCACCCAGCAACCGGACAGAGAACCGGTTGCTAAATTTTTTGAAGCCCACCCCTGATTTGAAGCATTCCAGGGGTGGTAACAATGTTTTATTTTGCATCCACAAAGAATCTGCCGTTACGTGCAGGCTAATAATCCATGTGTTACATTTATGTATGTGTGTATGTGTGTATGTATGTATGTATGTATGTATGTATGTATGTATGTATGTATGTATGTGTCACATTTAGGTCACACAGTTTTCCCCTTCATTTTTTTTTTAAATCAAGGCTTTGGTGTAGAGACTTTAAGGACGGCTTCCCGTGGAAAAATGAAAGAAAGAAAAAAAAGGCAAGCTATAGGGGAAAAAAAAGCTCAATATGATTAGGAAGGAAGAACGCATGCCAGTGAGTACAAAACACAAAAACATTTTATTATTCAAACGCAAATTACAGTCCAGTTGACACCTCTTCATGGCAGGGATAATCTATTTGTCTGTGAGGAAGACAACATGATTGTATAAAAGGACCTCTTTATAAGATAATACTTATAAATCTTCATGGCGTAACTCAAACTGTCCACTTCAAGCACCTGAAAGAAGAGAGAACAGAGTTTTAGCCTAAAAGATGAGGGCGTCTGTCTGTCATTCTGTCAGTCAATACATCATTCAGTCACCTTTTCACGCAACAGGAATGCAACAGATGTACAAAATAACTTTAATTATTCAGAAGGCCTGCTCTGAACACAAAGCAGACCATTTTTCAAAATTTTATAAACATTTCATGTTCTAAATTCTCAAAGCAGCCAGATTTCAAATTTTAAATTCTCTGTACTTCGCTACGCAAAATAATGAAATAAAATGAAGCTGTGGACGGAAGTTCAGGCAAGATTTTTTTTTTCTTAGATTGCAAAAAGCGAAGGAAATGACAGAGGATTATTCCCCATTTCCTAATCCTGAGTGTGAAACAGGAAAAGGAGAAAGTATTACAGGTCGGAATTGATTTGCAAATTGCTGTTGCTTTGGACTTCTCATGAAAATTTTCTCTGCATGCCATCACTCTGCTAAACAATTAATTAATTCCCCTAACACTGTCAAACTATTTACTAAGACTGCATTACTATTCTTCTTCTCATCCTTCCTATTACGTATTTCCTTTTCTACTTGTGACTATAACAGTGGTGGCTACCCTTTTTGGGCTCCCGTGCTGATAATTGCGTACCCGCTTGCTTGTGCGTGCTCACATGCCAGCACCCAAAAGGCAATGGGTGCTGCCCTCCCATGCATGCACATGTGACCCCTCGTGTGTGCCACGCATCTGCGCATGCGATTCCCCGTGCGCCGCACCTTTATGCATGCATACACAATTCCCCCTCACATGCCGTGTATCTTTGCACACGTCTGCACAATTCCCCCTCTGCACATGTGTACGCAATCTCATGTGCAGCACGTCCCTGCATATGCGCGCACATTGCCCGCGCACACACCCCAGATACCCGACAATCAGCTGTTGGGCAGCGGCGCGCACATGTGCAGTGGGGCTCTTCCGGGCAACTTCTCACGTGCTAGGGGAAATGGCTCTGCGTGCCACTTCTGGCACGCGTGGCATAGGTTCGCCAACACGGGACTATAACCGTGTTGCTTGTATCTTTACGATTTATATTGTTTTATTTAGTTTCCTAGTATGATTTGTTTGCTTATTTAGTATCTTATGACTATCACTAAGTGTTGTATCTTATGATTCTTGATGAATGTATTTTTTTTAATGTACTGAGCACATGCATCGAAGACTAATTCCTTGTCAGTCCAATCACATTTGGCCAATAAAGAATTATGTTCTGTCCTGTCCTGTCCTGTCCCGTCCCGTCCCGTACCGTCCCGTCCCGTCCCGTCCCATCCCATCCCAATCCCTATCCCTATCCCTATCCCTATCCCTATCCCTATCCTATCCTATTCTATGTGGTTTATTCATAAACCAAGATTTAAGAACCCCCAGTTTAGTAGGCTTTCTGTGCCAGGCCTTCCCTTGACATGCTTTGGAAATGTTTTGAAGTGCACATTTGCAGCATTTTTTCTTTTAGATCTTTCAGGAGAACAAAGAACTATGAATTTTGACAACAGATACAGTCTGGATTAAAAGAAGCACATTGGGGACAAGGAGAGACCATCTTCCTATCAACTGCTTTCTCCATATCACGCTACTCCACAAGTCAAGCCTAAATACACATTTTAAGTAGTTTCTAGCAGTTGTGCAGCCGCTATGCCGTTTAGAATATGTTTCCCATTATTAACCACGTATTCTTAGTAGGATAAGGATTTTAGGTGCTAAATATACACTTACAACTGTGTGTGGCTTATCTGTTGATGGGCTTATCCACAAATACAGGTAGTCCTCAACTTAACAACCACAATTGACCCCAAAATTTCTATTGCTAAGTGAAACATTTGTTAAATGAGTTTTGCCCCATTTTACGATTTTTCTTGCCACAGTTGTTAAGTGAATCACTGCAGTTGTTGAGCTAGTAACATGAATAGTAAGTGAATCTGGTTTCCCCATTGACCTTGCTTGTCAGAAGGTCACAAAAGGGGATCACATGATCCCGGGATGACCACTGAAAACTGTCATAAGTGTGAGTCAATTGCCAAGTATCTGAATTTTGATCACGTGACCATGGGGATGCTGCAATGGTCATAAGCATGAGAAACAGTCATAAATCCCTTTTTCTGTGCCTTTATAACTTTGAATAGTCACTAATTGTTGTAAGTCAAGGACTATATACAATATTTTTAAAAAAACATGTATCTTCCATATATACTCATATATAAGCCCATCTGCAGTTAAACTGATCCTCAGATTTAAAAAAAATAACCAAAATACCACATAAAATGAATAATCCATGGATTACCCATGGCAGTGGTGGCTAATCTTTTTGGGCTCCTGTGCCGAAAATTGCGCTCCAGCATCCAGAAGGCAATGCTTGCAGCCCCCCCACACCCTCTGCACATGCATGCATAATTCCTCCTGCCGCCCCTTACCTGAACTGCGCATGCGTGCATCTCCCAGCTGATTTTTGGCCTGTTTGAGGCTTTTTACAGCCTCCCAGAGTGTCGAGGGAAGCCTCTGCAGTCTTTGGAGGCTGAAAAATGGGCCCGTTTCATCACTTCCAGTATTTCCAGAAATACAGGAAGTGATGAAACGGGCCTGTTTTTCAGCCTCCAAAGGCTGCAGAGGTTTCCTTCAAGCCTCTAGGAGGTTGAAAAAGGCTTCAAACAGGCTGAAAATCAGCTGGGAGGCGCGCACATTCTGGGGTTCACGTGCACATGCACAAACGCGTGCCATAGGTTCGCCATCATGGACCTATGGCTAAGCCAAATATGAAAATTAAAACATGCAAACATTTTGAGAGTACATGTGTAAGTGGTACATTTTTTACAGCATTTTGGTTAAAAATTCACAGGGTTGGCGCATCTGTGGATGGGCTTATACACTCAATTTACAACAGTTCATTTAGTGACTGTTCAACATTACAACAGCACTGAAAAAACTGACTTAACCATTTTTCACACTTATGACCATTGCAGCAATCCCATGCTCACGTGATCAAAATTCAGATGCTTGGTAACTGACTCACTTATGACTGTCACAGTGTCCTGGGGTCATGTGATCACTTTTGTGACTCCTGACAAGCAAAGTCCTTGGGGAAGCCAGATTCATTTAACAACCCTGTTCCTAACTAAACAGCGACAGTGATTCACTTAACAAATCTGGCAAAAAAAGTCATAAAATTGGGCAAAACTCTCTTAACCAATGTCTCACTTAGCAACAAAAATTTTGGGGTGAATTGTGGTCGTAAGTCAAGGACTACCTGTATGCAAGGATGCACAATAGCAGGATTCCCCCACCCCCACTGTAGAAATCAATAAAAAGTCTTATGTTTGCTTCATTTCAGTTTGTGAAATTATAGCTTGGCTCCGTATTCTATTATTAAGTTTTTGCAGATCAACTTTGATGTACCTCAAAATAAAGAGAAAATAGAACCATCACAATATGTCACAGGTCAAATATTTTTGGGTACGATTGCCGGCAGGTTCCCAAATTGTGTGGGGCTCAGCAACTATGGTTGATAGGAATCAACCATTTTTATTAACAGATCCTGACTGTTTGCCTAGAACAGGCATGTCAAATTCAAGGCCTGCGGGCCGGATCCAGCCTGTGGGATGCTTAAATGTGGCCCATGTGGCCACCCTGGAAATAGCAAAGAACCGGCCCATGGTGCCTCTGGCAGCCAAAATAGGGAGTGGGAGGGTGGGGTAGCGGGGATGCGTGCAGCCCCCGTTTGGCCCATTTTGGCCTGGACAGCCTCTTGCAACACTTTGCTGACCAAAATGGGGCCGGGAGGGCATGTGATTTTGGCCTGGATGGCCTCCTGCAACACTTTTTGGCCGGCAAAGTGTTGCACGAGGCTGTCCAGGCCAAAAATGGACCCCTCTACCCCATTTTAGATGACAAAGTGATGCAGGAGGCATCTATCCCGTCTCCCTCTGCCCCCGGCCAGCCCACAGAGAACTACAATGCTGATTGGGCCTCAAAGAAATCCAGTTTGACACCCCAGCTTAGAAACAATTCCTAATCGCACCAAATGACTAAGTGAAGGCTAGGATGCACTTACCGAGTTTCGTGATGTGTTCCCAAACATTTGACACAGCAGTAGCGGGCGCCACAAGAAACACATGTGTAATTTGACGGGAAGCCACACACCGTGCAGAAATGACGCTGTGGCAAATTGGAAGGGGGCGCACATGCTGTCAGGTAGTTGGGTCCTTCACTTGAGTTGAGGTTCTGCTGGAAGTCGAACAGAGAAAGAAACTTGTTGGTTGGGATCTTACCACCATGGATAGAATTATCTATCCATTATTTTAATGGATATGCCTGATGGCAAAGGAGAAAAGGAAACCTAGGCAGCCCTCATTCAGTGACCATAGTTGGAAGTGGCAACTCAGTCCTTAAGTGAAGTGATCCCTAAGTGAAATCACAACTCTGATTTTGATCAAATTTGAGATTTCCTTTGCTTTACGGACCTGCAAAGGTGGTAAAGGTGAGGATTAGCCTTAAAGTTATTTTTACATCACTGTTTTAATTTTGAAGAGAGCCAGTTTGGTGTAGTGGTTAAGGCATGAGGCTAGAAATCAGGAGGCTGTGAGTTCTAATCCCACTTTAGGCACAAAGTCAGCCTGGTGACCTTGGGCCAATCACTCTCTCTCAGCTCTAGAAAGGAGGGAAGGACACTTTCACAAATTCTTGCCAGGAAAACTGCACATACTTTTCCAGGCAGTCATCATGAATTAAAAAAAAAAAAACATGTGACTTGAAGGCACACATATGTACTTAAATTTGTATGACCACTAAATGAGGACTATCCATACTGAAGCAAACATCATTATAATAAAGAGAATGTTGAGGTATTAAGATTTAAGAGCTGACCAGCAGCAGTGAGTCTGATGCATTATAGGCTGATGAAATTAGAATTAATCAGCATAGCATGGGTTTAAGACTGGGGATGGGTTCTATCCTTTTAAGAGGTGTTTATATAAGGCAGCCATTAGAGAGCATGTTCTCTCTCCTTGTACCCTATATCCAGAGCAGAGTTTCTCCATGTAGAATTAAGAAGGTATTTGCCTACTACGTATATGTCTGTATATAACTGTTGTATATAAACCAATGTTAAATGTCTAAGTCTCTGTGTGCTGTGTTTCGCTCCTGGGTTGTCTCATAATGGTAGACACGCTGCAAACACTCTGACAGAGAAAAATTAAGAATGGAGATTCCCCCAATTTTTTGTTAAGAAAAAGAGAAAGAGAGAGAAAGACCTGTTCTTCCAGCAAAGCCTGGAAATTTTTACGGAACCGCAGCTTGAAATGGTCTCCGCGGGTTTTTTTCTTCTTTTTCCCTGCAAATAAAGAACAAAGAAGAAAAAACACAAATTACAGATGAAGGTAAATGCCTTGTAGACTCAGTAGATTTTGTGGCATTGAACATAACAATAAAGAAAGATTATGAAGGGTGGGATTTTATTAATTTAGGATAGGGTACTCTGCTTTTCTAGGCAAATGTTGAGTTTTGTGAAAGCTGTTACTAAATGGCAGTTATGGGGGGGGCAGTACACACTTCCAATATGCAGAAGAGAAGTGGGGGAAGTGAAAAAATAGTTTCCCTATGAAACTGACGGAGACAAGGATCCCAATGTCGAATCAAATATTAACCCTTTGTTCCCAACAAAGGGATCTGCATGTCCCAAAAACCAAACTGGCAATGCCCAGAGAACTACAAAAACACACACACAAAAAACTCTAATTGTACACATCCAGACATGAAATACATTCTCCCTGCATATGAACCAAGGAGCCTACTTAAAGAGGGATGTTCAGAAAGGGGATTAAAAAAATCAAGAGGTAAAAAGAGATGGGATTTTAATTGTATGTTTGTAGTCACCATCTTGACTTTTTTTTTTACTCCCTTGGGGATACACCTCTACTTTTGTGTGTATATGCAAATGTTTGTGTATATTCTTATATATTGTATTTACAAACACATAGAGATATATGTATGTATGCAAGGTTCACACAAACAAACTAACAGATGACAAGCTCATCTATTGGTCAAGAAAGAAAAGGAAGTCAAATAATAAAGCTAAGGGATAGTGAAATCAAAGGAAAAAGGAAATCAAGGGAAAATCAAAACAAAATGAAATCATATGAGAATGAAATCAAGGAAAGTGAAATGGAAGGAAAGTGAACTCAAAAGAGTATGAAATCAAGAGAAACTTAAACCGAGTGAAAATGAAATAAAAGAAAACTGAAATCAAGGCAAACTGAAATCAAGGGAAAGTAAAATCAAAGGAAAGTGAAATCAGGGGAAAGTGAAATCATGAGAATGAAATCAGGGAAAGTGAAGTTGGGGAAGTGAATTCAAAGGAGAGTAAAATCAAGGGAAAGTTAAACTGAGTGAAAATGAAATCAAAGAAAAGTGAAATCAAGGGAAAGTGAAATGGAAGGAAAGTGAAATTGGGGGATAGTGAACTCAAAACTGAAATCAAGGCAAAGTTAAATTGAGTGAAAATGAAATCAAAGAAAACTTAAATCAAGGGAAAGTAAAATCATATGAGAATTAAATTAGGGAAAGTGAAATCAAAGAAAAGTGAAATCAGGGGAAAGTGAAATCAAGAGAAAGTGAAATCAAAGAAAAGTGAAATCAGGGGAAAGTGAAATCCAAGGAATGGCCAGCAGGAAAGTGAAATCCAAGGAATGGCCAGCAGGAAACTTTACCTGTTTCGGCATCGTCGTCAAACTGAGGCAAGCGCTTCACTAGCTGTGGCATATTGGCATGAGGGTCATCCTGAAAATTGTCATTCTCCAGGGCTTCTAACTGGCGGTTGAGACGGCGAAGGCGGGTGGCCCGATCTAAAATACGCCTTTGGCTGGGGTCCTGGGACCTAGCTGAGAGAGAAGAAAGACGGGGAGAGGCTGAAGCCAAGCCTGATTGAGTCAACCATGTTGCCTTCAATAAGAAACAGCTGGCATCTGCTCATGGGGGCAGCCTTCACAGCTGGCAAAGGACACTTCCAACCTCGTAATTAGCACATGCTCTAATTACCTTAAGCCAAGAGTAAGCAATTCATTTCCCTGAGGGGTCACATGAGAAATAGGAACTGTTGTGGAGGGCCAAACCGTATACTTACTTACATTTGATTTCTAATTTCCGAGTGACCTCATTTTGGGCAGACAGGGGCAGCCAAAGGGCCGGATGTGGTCTCAAGCACTATAAAATGGCCAGATCTGCCTTAAGGCCACATGCATCCCCCTCCAAGCACCTGAGATCATCCTGCCAACATTTGGCAGCAAAATGGCTCAACTGCATCCGTTTGCCTGCTTGTGTCAGCCCTGAAGTGAACCTGGCTGGGGCCATCTTGGAGGCTTCAGGTTGCCACACAGCAGAAGGAGGGGGAAAAATAGTTAGATGGGGTTTTGTAGCCAAAACAATAACATTTTCCCATGGGAACCAAGGACATTCTTATAGGTGGCTGGCCAGAGGAGGGGGAAATAACCAAGCAACCAGCCAGTAACTGGATTGGAGAATGTGACCAGTGACCTGTGGGTGGGTGTGTTTTAATTAGGTGAAAGCCACAGGAATTTTTAGAGTCGGCTTTCACCAGTTGCACCAATATGATGTATCCAAAAAAACTGTTCTCTGAGGAACTTACCTGTTTTGGAGTTCTGATTTCTATGAGTACATTACTTGGAACCCTCACAGTTTGTTTTTCATAATTGGCAGCAAAATTAAGGATGAATACTCCTGTCTCTATCCCAACTCTTAAATTCCTCCCAACCCCACCCTCACTCAAAGACTAATAAACAGCCCAAGATCTGTTGTCCGCTTCTCAACAATATGACATGTTTAACTTTGATTTTGTGTGCTCTGTGAACCCACAGCGACTGCCAACCATAGTTAAGAACATGGAACATCACATCTATTTCTTTAGCTGTATTTCTTAGATGTCTTGAGAATATAGGTCAGTGATGGCTAACCTTTTCATCGTCGTGTGCTGAAAGTAATGCAATGTGCGCATGACCCCACTGCCCCCTGCGCATGCACACCCATCTCCTGTGCACGCCCCACCCCCACACATGTGCAGCAGATATCCAACAATCAGCTGGCTGGCGGGAGGCATGCGTACATGTGCAGGCTAGGCTTGCATGCCGGCAGAAATGGCTCTGCGTGCCACTTCTGGCACGCATGCCATAGGTTCACCATCATGGATATAGGTAGTCCTCGACTTACAGTTCATTTAGTGATGGTTTGAAGTTACAACAGTGCTGAAAAAAGTGACTTTTGACCATTTTTCACACTTAAGCCATTGCAACATCCCCATGATCACATGATCAAAATGCTTGGCAACTGACTCATATTGTTGATGGTTGCAATGTCACAGGGTCATGTGATTGCCTTTTATGCGCTTCTCACAAGCAGAGTCAATGGGGAAGCCAGATTCACTTAATAATTTAATAATTGCAGTGATTCATTCAACAACTGTAGCAAGAAAGGTTATAAAATGGGGCAAAATTCATTTAAGAAACAAACATCTCACTTAAAATGTTTTACAAATGGCACTTTCCACCAGCAAGACTAGCTAAGATGTTTAAAGATATGTTGACTAAGTGCTGGAAATATAACCAGACACCGGGCTCATATTACCATATGTGGTAGACGTTCCCAAAGGCAAAAAAATACTGGACAAAAATACATACTTGGATAGAAAAAATGATAAAAGAACACATAGACTTAAAACCGGTAATATTCCTGTTGGGTATCATACCAGAAGAATATAATAAAGGGAATATGTACTTAATAATATATGTATTAACAGCAGCTAGAATTGCATTTGTGCAACACTGGAAGAGCATAGAGATTCCTACAGAAGAGAATGTAATTAAAAAAATATTAGAATGTGCATAAATGAATAGACTAACACTTAAAATTAAAGATAAGGAAGACACTAAATATTTTTTAATATGGGATTCATTTTATCAATGGTTAAGCAGGAGCAGGAACAGAAGTTAGATTTTTTAAAAATATACAAGAGAATGACTAATTTTGTAAAAACGGCTCACCAAATGGATATGTAAGTACTACTGCCATTATATGGTTATTATTATTGTTATGAGGAGGCACTACTGCTATTATCTACTGCTACTATTTCCACTTCTCTTCTCCCTATATACCAATGCCTGCATCTCAAACGATCCATCTGTTAAAATACTGAAGTTTGCTGATGACAAAACAGTGATTGGTCTCATTCAAGACAATGATGAATCTACATACAGACAGGAGGTTATACAACTTGCCTTGTGGTGTAACCGGAACAATCTGGAACTGAACACACTCAAAACCGTAGAAATAGTGGTAGACTTTAGAAGAAACCCTCCCATACTACCACCTCTTACAATACTAGACAACATAATATCAACAGTAGAGACCTTCAGATTTCTAGGTTCTACTATATCACATGACCTAAAATGGACACCTAACATCAAAAACGTCATCAAAAAAGCACAACAAGAATGTTCTTTCTGCGCCAACTCAGAAAGCTCAAACTGCCCAAGGAGCTGCTGATACAGTTCTACAGAGGAATTATTGAGTCTATCATCTGCACCTCTATAACAGTCTGGTTTGGTTCTGCAACCCAACAGGACAGACACAGACTTCAGAGGATAATTAGGACTGCAGAAAAAACCATTACTACCCACCTGCCTTCAATCAAGGACCTGTATAATCCACGAGTCAAAAAGAGGGCTGTGAAAATATTTATAGACCCCTCACATCCCGGACATAAACTGTTTCAACTCCTTTCCTCAAAATGACGCTATAGAGCACTGCACACAGAACAACTAGACACAAGAACACTTTTTTCCCAAAAGCCATCACTCTGCTAAACAAATAATTCCCTCAACACTGTTCATTCAACTATTTACAAAGTGTGCACTACTATTACTGTTAATCTTCTCATCACTCCTTATCACCCATCCCCTCCCACTTGTGATTGTAGGACTATAACTTTGTGGCTTGTATCCTTATGATTTATATTGACTGTTTCCTAATATGATTTGATTGTTGATTGTACCCTATGACTATCATTAAGTGTTGTACGTTATGATTCTTGATTCTTAACAAATGTTTCTTTTCTTTATGTATACTGAGAGTATTTACACCAAGACAAATTCCTTGTGTGTCCAATCACACGGCCAATAAAGAATTGTATTGTATTGTATTGTATTGTATTGTATTGTATTGTATTGTATTGTATTGTATTGTATTGATTGTATTGTATTGTATTGTATTGTATTGTATTGTATTCTATTCTATTCTATTCTATTCTATTCTATTATTCTATTCTATTCTATTCTATTCTATTCTACTGCTATTATATGATTAATACTAATACTTTGAACACTATTGTTATCATGATGATTATTGCACAAATTAATTATACCGAGACAACGCACTGTTTATATAGACACTGAAAATTTTGCTCTTTCTATATTTAATAAAAAACATTTTAAAAAGGTCTCACTTAGCAACAGAAATTTTGGGTTCAATTGTGGTCCTAAGTTGAGGGCTACCTACATGCCTTCTATTTCTTTGGGTGGTCCATGTATTTCTTAGTTGTCAAGAGAATATAGTTTCTATTATTTGAATGGCCCAATTTATAATTCCTTAACCAATACAATCATGCCTTCTGCATCCTTTGTATATTATCTATAAATATGGCTGACTCATTCTTTTATGTGAATATAAAACAAGCCATGAGGAATAGTCTCCAATGTGTGAATTCATTGATGTCAAGCCTTTAGTGCTCTCTGAACTTGCTTGTTTTTTTCGTTTTTTGTTTGCAGACTTTTCACTACCCAAACTAGGTAACATCATCAGTGCTAGTTTGAGTAATGAAACATCTTCAAAAGTCATAATGACTCTTCTTGGGGGGGTGAAACAACTGAGCTCGGTGAGCAACAAAGACCCCTCATTTCAACCCTGAGCTACAAATATTCTCCTTTAATTCCATGATGCTCCCTTATAGCTACATAAACCTAACTTATGGGTATGTTGTCCAAATGCCCCCTCCTGTGACAGGACAAGAGCATCTAAAAGTGATTTTCAGGTTTAGGAGCAGATAGCTACTGTGCTGCATGAAAGATATATTATTTTCCTTTGCAAAAAAATAAAAAAATAAAAATTGTCCCAGTCACTCTTTGCATCTACCAACAAGCCCCTTTTTTTCTCCAAGCCCCATTCCAAAATACCTGAAATTTTCTTTTCCACCATTCTGCCAGCCAGGTAAGCCCCCCAGTGGAGCTTCTCTGATATTTCTGGTATAAATTTGCTTGTTTGTCTCCACGTCGACTTTCCAAGCTGCAAAAACCTTTGCACCGCAAGAAGTGACGAGGTACTGAGCAAATCTGATCAGGCTTTAGCGTTTTTAGTGCGAAGTTATTTATTTATTACACATCTAAGGTCGCTCCATCCAATCGTCATCTGCAAATGATCGCCATGTTACTAGAGGCATATGGGCTTCCGCCTCTGCTGCCAGGACACGCCCACTAGGACACGTCACGCAGTCTGTCCTCGATGAGAATGTTTGGCTTTAGCAGAGGCGGGATTGGGCTCCCCTGGGTCCTACGCTCCGCCGAGTTCGAAATAAATTACAGGGAGTCCATATCAAATCAAATCAAAGCGATTTGATTTGGTGGTCCTCGACGTACGACCACAACGGAGCCCAACATGGCTGTTGTTAAGTGAGATATTTGTTAAGCGAGTTTTGCCCCTGTTTTACAGCCTTTCTTACCACTGTTGTTAAGTGAATCACTGCAGGGGATAAATTAGTAATCCGGTTGTTAAACAAATCTGGCTTCCCCATTGGCTTTGCTTGATCAGAAGATTGCAAAAGGGGATCGCGTGACCCTGGGACCCAGCAAAGATAATAAATATGAACCCAATTGCCCAACATCTGCATTTTGATCAAATGATCATGAGGCTGCTTTAAAGGTTGTTAACTATGAAAAACGGTCATAAGTCACTTTTTTCAGTGTTGTGGTAACTTTGAATGGTCACTAAATGAATTGTTATAAGTCAAGGACTACCTGTATTTAGGCCAGGGATCTCCAAACTCAGACGACTTGAAGAGTTGTGGACCTCAGCTTTCGGAATGTTTCCACCAATATGGCTAGCTGAGGAATTCTGGGAGTTGAAGTCCACAGAGTTGCTGAGTTTGGAGATCCCTGATTTAGGAGAAAAGCAGGGAGCAAAATTCTATTTAAGCTGGTGTTCCTCAGACTTGGCCACTTTCAGAAAGGTGGACTTCAACATGTTTGGCATGCTAGATGGGAAATTCTGAAAGTTGAAGTTCAGCCATCTTAAAGTTTCCAAAGTTGAGAAATACTTGTTTAAAAAGCTTCCCATTCAGCCCCTGAAATTGCTCCCAGTATTTAGAATTGTGGTGATAATACAAATTCTATAGTTACCATTCTTCCAACAAGGGCAGAGTGCAATACACATAAACATGGACACCAGTCATGCAGAACAGTGGAAGAAAAAAAGTGGAAGGGGATTATCCCCATGAAAGATAATTCTGAATTTAGGAGATTATTTTACTTACATGAATGCCAAGTTGGATATTACTACATATCATCATATTACTGATTACTATTATCATTATTATGCATTCTGCATCTAATGGATGGAAACTAATCAAAGAGAGAAATAACCTAGAACTAAGGAGGAATTTCCTGATGGTTAGAACAATTAACCAGTGGAACAACTTGCCTCCAGAAGTTGTAAGGGCTCCCATACTGGAAGTTTTTAAGAAGAGATTGGATAACCATTTGTCTGAAATGGTACAGGGTTTCCGGCCTAAGCAGGGGGTTGGACTAGAAGACCTCCAAGGTCCTTCCCAACTCTGTTATTCTATTCTATTCTATTCTATTCTATTCTATTCTATTCTATTCTATTCTATTCTATTCTATTCTATTCTACTCTACTCTACTCTACTCTACTCTACTCTACTCTACTCTACTCTACTCTATTCTATTCCGTTTCATTCCGTTCCATTCCATTCTCTCTTCTTCTAATTTTTTGCTCGGACAACAGGCTTTCAGTTTTTATTTCATTTTTTAAAAAACATGTCTTTTCCTCCTAGGTCAAATTCCCAAGACCACAAAGTTACTGCAAT